AAATAGCAAGAATGATGAGATAAGTGTGTCAGAAGCAAGGGGGAGTTTTGTGAGGGGGATGAATGCAAACGCATCTTACTGTAATCAATGGTTTTAAATACCCAGCATATGGACATATGTGAACATCACCTCCATTAAAAAAAAACAAAAAAAGTATATCCATCATTAGAGATCTTTTTAAAATGCAGATTCTGATTAGAGAGCTATGGGTGAGGCCTGAGACTGCCTCTAACACGCTCTCAGGGGGCTGATGCTTCCCAAGGACCACGGGTATGTTTGACAACACAGGCAAGGGTTTCAGATGACTCCTAAGCATTCTACAAATTTTCACTTACAACCATGATGAGAAGTTTCTTTAAATGCATTTGAGTATTAAAAAGTTGGTTTAAAGAAATAGTAAATAATAATAAAGGAGGCTAGCACTGGTGGCAGAAATCGGGGAAGTAGCTTGTAATTACTACAGTGTGAAACAGGCAGGGAGAAAGCATTGGAAAGAAAAAAATAATAATAGGAAGAGGGAAAAAAATTCCAGTTTAGAATAAGTAGCAGTGATGCGAGAGAGAGAAAAACGTGTGCGACATGATGGACACTAGAGTGCACCCTGAGTCTTAGAGCTCAGCACTGTGCTATAGTGTCACTGACTGCTCATGACGGGGGGCTGTCCCCTGTTGTCCCAATGAGGACACTGTGGCTTGGGGAGACTGCCCAAAGTCACACAGCTTGGGCATAGACAAGTAATTACCAGGGGCAGGGTATGAACCAGGTCTGCGCGATTGGTTCCTGAGCAGCTTGCTCAGTGCCCTGAGCTCAGCCACCCTGCACAGCACACTGGGTGTTTCTGTACGGAGTTCTCCTTCTCCTAATGTTGCCACTTGCCCCGCTCATGCACCGTTGTATAACACTTCCGCATTTATGTCAGCCAGAGCTGTGTACATTCATATTCACTGAATCCTGTTTTCTAAATCCAGGTTATTATCATTCCCATTTTCAAGATGGCAAAGTGAAGCTTGCCAGCATACCACAGTCAAGATTTAAAATTCAGGCCCAGGGATTTGGCTCAGTGGTTCCGCTGCCTGCTTTGCAGGCGCAAGGTCCTGAGTTTGATCCCTGGTTCCAAAAAAAAAAGATTTAAAATTCAGGTCTCCAAGACACCAGATTCAAGGTGTTTTCAACAAATCTCACTGTGCAGGACCATGGTTCATACAGACTTTTCTCCCTGGGCCACTATTTGCCAAACACACGTCCCCCAACCTTGCTCTCCACCCTGGTGGATACTTGAGACTGTTTAAACTGATTCAGTTTAACCTATAATCTTGGTGTCAGCTGGTGGCTAATAGCTGCCTTGTAACTTTAAGAGGTGCACCAGATCTCCGACAGGTGCAGACAAGCCACAAAGAAACCCACTCTGCTTCTTCTGCTGGAGCTAGATTAGAAGCCAAACTCCATGCAGCCAACCATCCGGCACGGTTCTTAGTTTTATCGGGAATGCTACAGAGATATTTTTTAGAACTAAGCTTTATTTCAGATGTTACAAGGAAAGGTGCTATAAATAACTGTCATATGGGGCTAATAAATTATTCTTCTACACCAAGATCTATTCATATGGCATTACACCAAAGTCTGAAATACTCTTATTTTGCAAAGAGAGCATTCTAGAAGCGAGGATTTAAGTGTCAGACAAATAACATTTACTCCAGATTCTAGCCTACATCCTCTTTAATTTATGTGAAACATGGGCTTTTAAGCCATCACTTTTTTTCTGTCTAGAAGCCAGGCTCTCAGCCTTCCCTTTCTCGTCAATTCCCACAGCTCTTCTCTCCTCCTTTTCCCTGTTTCAGGCTATTTTACACAGATTTCATCTCCATCACTCTCTTCCCTATTCTGTACACCAGGAGAGTGGCAGGACTTCTTCCCACCTCTCCCACCAGACCCACTCCCCTAACAAAGTCTGTCCAGGGCCCGAAGGCACAAGCTGGGGGCCTGAAGGCAGACTCCAAAAGGTGAGACTCCTAGGGCACTAAGAATGGATTGGCCAGAGCACAGAAAAACCCAAGTTCAGCCACAAATCAGCCACCTTTCCCCATGAGGCCTCTAAGGGAAAGGAGATCCATAGAGAACAAAGCAAGGCAAAGCCACACTTTATTATGGGCTGGGTTGGGTTAGCCCCAGGCTCTCACTACTCCTCCTGTGTTCCCTTGATAGGGCCAGGACAGCAGGAGTGCCCAAAAGGCCCAGGTCAAAGCCTACTCTGCCAGGGCACACCAGAGCAAAGAGCAAGCCAGAAATGCCTTGCAACAAAAGTGATGAGCCCCATCCTAGAATGGAGTAAACCTAGACCAACTCCTCAGACCCTCTCCAACAGAGGAGAGAGCATGGGCACCCTCAAGGGGGTGGGTGGGATCAGAAGGAAGAAAGGAAGTGAAGGAAGAGGAGGAAGAGGAGTAGGAAGACTGTGGGGGAGAAGGGAAGGAAGGAGAGAGCAGACAAAGGAACAAGTAGCTGGTAGTGAAAGAAGGACAATCCGCCAGGCCTTCTCTGAGTGGCCCAGGCCTGCATCCAATGACTTCTTAGCCTTCTGAGAGGAACAGCAGATGGGGCAAGAGTAGGCCCCAACTCTCAGCCCTCAGGAGCAGAGGATGAAGACATTACAGGAGAGAGAAGATCCCAAGAGGGAACAGTGCTCGACTGTTACGGTCTAGTCACAAGAAGAGATAGTAAGGAAGGTCCATCCAAGGCTGTGTCCTTCTAGCAGCCTGAAGACTGAATTCCCTCCTGCCAGTCCTTCCACATAGGCACCCATTTCCATCCTGCAATACTACTCCTCAGGCCCATATCCGGAATGGGCCAAGAGGAAACAGAGATGGATCCGAACTCACTCTCCTAGATAGCTATGTTATACAGCCACCTATGTTTCTAAACCATGAAATCTTTTCTTTTTCTTTTATTGAGGTATAACTGAAGAATACAATTATATATATATATTTTTAAAATACATGAGATGATTTGATGTATTTTGAAATAACTACAATCAAGCTAATGAACACAAACATCGCCTCACAGATCACTGTCTGATTTGGCAGTGAGAATGAGAAAGGTCTACCCTCTTTGCAAAAGTCATGCCAAATGGAATTATTAATTATATTCCTACCATACTGTACATCAGAGCCTCAGAATTTATTCATCTTGTAACTAAAAGTGGGTACCCTTTGGTCAACATCTCCCTAATCTCATCCCCATCCTGCAGCCTGTGAAACAATCATTTGACTCTGTTTCTGAGTTTGAATTTTTTTTTTAAGCCTTAAATTTTGACTTCAGCTTTGCCCAAAGGGTTTAATGAACAAAAAGAATCTGGAAGGGGTTCTGCCACATTCTTCTCCTACCGTTCTTCCTCCATGGTGTGCTGGTCAAGCAAAACCAAGTAAGTCAGAGATGCCAGGCAGGATACAGCAAGCTCTGGTCCACCATAGCTACTCGAGGGCAGTGAAATTCCCAACTCCCTGCCTTTTATTCCCTTTGCTTCTCCTCAGCTGCTGGCCTTTGTCTCCCAAGCTGATGCAAAAGTCCTTCCTCATGTCAAGACAACTCTCACGCATGGCACAGGTTGGGGAGGCAGAGGACAGATGACAGGGCTGCCCATGCAGGTCACTGCAAAGACCACAGATTGCTGAGGGGTGATTGTCCTGGGGTTGTTCTCAACAGAGGGACACGACCCCAGAACTCCTGACATGAGGCTTACACCAAACACCCCATTCTCCTCTTTCCTCTCTACCCCCACTGCAATATAGGAATTTCTTTGAAGGGAAATTCATGGATTTGCTAAGCACTCTTCTAGTTCACTTCCTAGCTCCTACCTCCAAGGAATACTCTGGTAGTTGTTACAGTATTTGAAGAAACACTAGGAGTAGAATTTGTAAAAATAGTAACAGAACAGGAATTTATACCTTAAACAAATCATTCCAACAGATGGGACTTAAAGCATTTATTATCCTTCTCTGGTCTGGGACTTTTCAAACACTGCATTTCCAGCCGGCCAGACGGGGAGCTGTTTGATAGTACCTCTCTGACCAATTACGTACTAATTAAAAGACCTTGGTGTGCACTGGAGGTAGCAGCTTTGCATATGGACTTTAATTACTGGGCCCTAGTTTTGCCAAGAAAACACAAAGGGCTTTTCTGGCTGGATGCTGAGGTTTAGGATGAACATATGGCCTGCGTGGGAGGGGAGGGTTCAGAGTGTAATCCTAAACAGGAAGCAGAGCCTTTCCCCCCTGTAATCTCCTGAAAGTAACTATGTACCAGAGTGATCCAAAATCCCCAATTCACGCCCAGAACAAAGGGCATCCTGAGCAGGCAGGGAGCAGCTACCCTAGCCACGTCATTCAATCCTGTTTCTGGACTGGAATTTGTTCTTGCCCTACTGGCCTTCTCTATCTCTATCTCTGTCTCTGTCTCTGTCTCTCTCTCTCTCTTTTTTTAATCAGAACCTCCTGCGTCTTCCATGATTTCATAGGCCCTAGGTAGCCCAGAATTACTTTTTGGCTGCTCAGAATCCATTCCCATCTTCAGGTTATGCTGCCCCAGAATCCAGAGCACAGGGCTGAGGCAGGCTACACCTCATGCTCCAGAAGGGACAAGTAGCCCAGTCCTGACCAATTGGCATGATTTAATCTCCCCAGCCATAACTTTTGGTTCAAGGATAGGCATATGACCCAAACCAGTGCAACCATCTTAACTTCCAGAATGTGTGTGGCACCACACACTTGAGTAAACATCTTCTCTACCCATGTCTGGGTTAAAAGGTGATGTTTAAAGCCACAGCAGTCATTTTACTGTCACAGGAAGACAGGTCTAAAAATTGAGACATCCCAAGGGAAGTAGAATCAAGAGAGAGAAAGAGGAAAACTAAAACAGTGGACTAGTATGTGAGGTCCCGAACCAAGCCATTCCTGAGTGAATCTACTTAGGACATTCTAGTATTGTAAGCCAATGAGTTCCTTTTATGCTTAAATTGGCTTCAGTTAGTTTTTCTATCAATTTGCAGATAAAATCATCCTATCTGGTAGAAATAAGATTGAGAGGCAGGAAGTTAAAACAACTGCCCAACCCTACAGGGATCCAGCCTAGAAAGAACATACTTCTACAGCCTCTATGGAGCCTCAGAGATCTTGGGGACAAAGCATCCTGTTCAGTCATCTTTGTCATCTTTTTCTAAACAGGTGTATATGTGAAGGTTCACAGAGGAAAGATATCACACAGCAACCAAGTGACAAACTCCTTCCATTTGCAGTCTCAATGCTTTGAATGTGGTTGTGACTCAGTAAAGCATTTAATATTAACATGGTCCATTAGCCAATAATCAATCTCTTCTCAAACATGTAGCTAAGGAAATAGTACCTTTAAATAAATCTCCTCTTAACCAATTCCTGCATAGAAGACCTTCACTTCCTATGACAATCTCTCTCCTTCCTTCTTCCTTTGGCTGACACTGGCATCTCATTTCTTCCTGGTCACCGCTTTGCCTTTCAGTTGCTATAATTGTCACCTTTCTGTTACTAGGACAAAATACCTGACATACACAACTAAAGAAGAAAAGGCTTGTCTGGGCTTACCATTTCAGAGGTTTGGATGGCTCCAAGGCAGAAACATGGTGGATGGGTATGAAGAGGAAAGCTTCTTATCTAATGGCAGGAAGGAAGCAAAGAGAACAGGAAGAGAGCCAGAGAGAAAGGGACCAGGGACAAGATCTTTCCTTCAAAAGCACTCCCCCAGTGATGTGCTTCCTCCAAGTGGGCCCCACCTCCTAACTGCTCATTCAGCTATGAACTCAGCAATGGGTTAATCCATTGATGAGGTCAATTCTCTCATGATCCAATCATCTTCCAAAAGCTCCACCTCTGAACACATGAGCCTGTTGGGGTGGTGTGATAGTTGAGTGATTGTGTCAATTTGAGTAAGAAAAGCTCAACTAAATTGGCTCAGCAATTCCTTATCCTAGGCTGTGAAAGACCCACCCGAGGGCAGCTTGTTGCCTGGATGGTATAAAGGGGAAATGAACAAGGACAGATCAGCTTCTGTTTCTTCAGAAGAGCTCCAGTCTTCGCCTACATCTTGAACGTCATCTCCTGGCTTCCATCGCAGACTCATCAGCCTTCTGATACGAACTTGCACAGGACACTACAGTGAGCACCAGACCTTCAACTGACTCCTTCAGTCTCCAGTGCGCAGACCCTCTGGACTCCTCCACGTCTGACTCTGTGGGTGGCCACTGTAAGCCAATCTTGTAAATTCCTATGTATTTGTCCATCTCCTGTTATATCTGTTTCTCTAGTAAACACTGACTGATACAAGTGGTGTGGGGGGACATTTGTTTGTTAATTCTTTTAATGGTACATTTTAGGTACACAATACATTTACATTTATCATTGGGTGCTTGTACCTGTACATGATGTATCTTGGTTCTTATTTTTTTCCCCATTACCTGTGCGCCCTTCACCCCCTCCACCCTTCCCTGTTTACATAGATTTCGTTTCCTTTTTTTTTTTCTTTTCTCATGATTTTTCTTTTCTCTTCTTTTGGAGTGGCATTTTTGATCCAAACCATAACAGTTACTCAAAACCTTTTGCTAATTTGATCCCACAATGCCTGTAGACACTTAACCTCTAAGTTGTTCACTTCTCCATTCTTTACCTTCTCCCTTAAACCAGCAGTTATCTACCTGGCCCCACTCATGCTTTCCCCATCTTTATAAATAGTTTTGTTGCATTAAAAATAGCCGCAAAAGGGCCAGGGATTTAGCTCAGTGGTTCCGCTGCCTGCCTTGCAAATGCAAGGTGCCCAGTTTGATCTCCGGTACCAAGAAAAAAAAATAGTTGCAATTTTTCAATTTTTTATACTTTACCACCGGCCAACACATAGAACTAAAAATCAATCTCTTACAACTGAGTCAGTATCTTTATGATGGTCAAGGGATTATTTCTTCTTAGGAGCAGATCTTACAGCCACTTGAAACATTTTCATTTTAGAAACAGACTCCAGGCTGGTCTTAAACTCCTGAGCTCAAGCAATTCTCCTGTCTCAGCCTCCCAAGTGGCTGGGCCTACAATTGCACACCACCACACTTGGCTTACTTGAAGTATTTCTAAATGGTTCAGGCCGGTAGTACAAATTAAGTCTAATGATCTATTTCTTGCCAACTCCTTAGATGCCATGATCAATTATTTTCATTTCCTATGACTAAACTCCTCCTCTGTCTATGACAGATTAATGCATTTGCCAGTGCCTAACGTCAGCCAAGTTCTGGTAACACTCAGATGGAAAGCTTCCTGCAAACGTGAAGCGAGGTTATTACTCTCTGAAACCAGTGTGCAGTTGGAACTCACAAGACTTAAACTTAGTACTTTTATATCCCTTTTAGAGTATCTTAGGAACTTACAAGTCTTCAGAGAAAAAGCTCTGGGAGTTTGGATGAGATTCACAAACTCATTTGCTCTCTAGTGAAGCCTTTTATTACAACTTTGGACTGAGAAGGTGGAAAGTTAATTCAGGATATGAAATAAACAAGCGATACCTTAAATTTATGTAGCCTTCCTTTTGCAAAAATCTGTAACTGCCCACATGTACCATTTGATCATCAGTGTCTTCGGTTACTGGAAGTTGTTCTGGAGAGAAAGAAAAAAAATGGAAAGACATTTACTCTGAGTGCAAATTCCAAACTTTTCTTAGCACCAAGTAACTCTAGTTAGAAAATTCTCCTAGAAATCCTTCTTCTTAATATTGAGCTTCAAATCTACAATCCATTATGGAACCAAGAATCCGCCTTTTCCAGCCAGACCTCTTTAGTCCACTGTGAAACCAACCTGTGCACCTTCTCACATCCCCTCCTCTGCTTCTTTCTTTCCCTCTGTCCATGTCCCATCTGCCCTCTACTCCTAGGGCTCTGAAGTCTGGCTTCCCACGGGGACAGGTGACCCAACCCACGAAAATGGGGCAAATTTTACAGATGGGAATAGAGGTCATGGCAAAGTGGGGAGAGACTCAAATTCCCCCCCTTTCTTCCTCTAGCCAGGCTGAGATACAGCTCCTCCCTGCAGCCTGTCTGGAGTAGCCCCACATGCTAAGAGACTTGGTCGATTCTTCATGGCTTATTCTGAAATGGGAGTCAATCTAGTGCCTCTTCCTTCACCCCCCTCACCCCTATCCTGGGAGTTCATCTCCCAGATGAGCATGAGCATCTTAGCCACTGCCTCAGCCCCTGCTTTCTGGAGGACCCAAACCGGAGATGTTTGTTTTCTCCGGTCCAGCATTTCTCAAGGTGTGCTCTGTGCACACTGGCAGCAGAACCCTCGGGGGTGCCTGCTAGAAAGACAGACTTCTGAACCCACCCCAGATGCAGTCAGGAGGTCTGGGGTATGAACAATCTCTGCAACCGACTCCTAAACACTAAAATGTGAGAATCACTGGCCAAAATTCCTTTCTGTGCCCCAGCTCTGCTGAAAGGACTTTCTGGTCACCCAAGCCAGAGCTACGGGCTCTTCACCTCTCATTCTTGCTAGGTCCTTTGCTTTTGCACCTGTCCTACCTTTTAAAAACCCACTACTCCAACCTGGCATATGTCCTTTCTGGGATACCACTGAAGCCTCCCAAATGGCCTCACCTTTTACCTTCTTCCAAAATGAGACTAAATTTGAGGATCAGGCTGCACACTGATAGAGAACCTAGAACGATGCAGTATAAGAACTGGGGACTTAAATTCTGCCAGAAAGTCCTGTGGGCCTTCCACTGGATAGAATCGGGTTTGTGCTGGATTTGCTGCAGTTTTTGTTTTGTTTTGGGGGCTTTTTTCCCCACAGTACTGTCGGAACTGTGTCTAGGGAATGCTGAACTCTATTTCCAGCCCTTTTTTTGTTAGCTGAGAGTACAGGTATGCGCCACCTTGCCCAGGTGCATTTAATTCCTGTATCCCTACTACACCCACTTTGTGAACTATGAGGCAGGTGCAGCGCCACTGAGCTACATGCCCAGCCTCACTCTGCTGACTGTGACAATCTGTCCAGTGAATTCCACAAGAGCAGAAGTCAGCTCATCTATTTCCATGAACTCCCATAAGGGGACATACTGCATACAGTGTCTGGTGACAGTCAGGGTAAGAGGGATATAAAATTCTCTCCTTTTCTTTCTTTTCCTCCCTTTCAGCCATCCCACCCCATGTTGCTTGATTCCCCCTCCTAATTTGGAAAACACTTCTAGGCTCCCTTCTGTGTGACTTCAGCCAAAATGCATGTGATTGTGTTCCATTTATTTCCCTCTCCAGGAGTCTATCTTTTCTGATTTGAGAAACTGAAGTAAAAATGTCCTTCCTTACCACTTGTATTGGTTAGCCATGATAATCAGAGCTAACATTTATTACGCATTTACTACGAACTCAGCCAGCCCTTTTTCAAGTACTTTCTCGTGCAGACCTTTCAACAGCCCTAATAGATACCTATACAGTCATCCTGTGGTATCCACGGAAGATTGGTTACAGGACCCCCTCCAAAGACACCAAAGTCCCTTACATAAAATGCCATGGTATTTGCATATAACCTACAAATATCACATCATGCACTTTAAGTCATCTCTGGGTTACTTATAATACCTAACATGATGCGAATGCTATTAAATTATTATACCATATTGCTGAAGACATAGAAAGAAAAAAACGTCTGTACATGTTCAGTACAAATGCAGTTTTTTAAAAAAAAATTTCATCCATGGTTGGTTGAATCTGTGGCTGTGGCTACGGTGGGCTGACTGTGCTATTTTTATTCACCTTTACAGATGAGGTTTTGGTAGTTAGAATTTGCCTACAAAAAGTGCTGGAGGTTGTCTGCTCATGAGATGTAGGATTTTAACCATTCTGGTATCTTCTTTCCCACTGCCTGATGATGTAGTGATTTTCCACACTGTGGCTTCCTGATAGGAACTTCTCATGCTAACAACTGTCCATAAGTCCACATCTATGGTTTACCTAAGTCAACCCACAGGAAAGTAGGCAGCCAGCCTCACTGCCCTGGTCTTTTGCTCCCTCTCATCCAACCCTCTGCTATTTGCAGACCTAATTCTGCAGGGCCATTTGCCACATGGTTCCACTGTATCGAGCAGGCGATTCTTTCTGGGTAATACAAGCAGTCCTCAGGCTTGGACTGCCTTATGGGCATTCTTGCCACATCAAGCCAGGAGCTCATTTCCTCCCAATATTTCCTCCACAAACATCATCCACGCCATCAACTCTAAAGCCCCACCCCACGGTCTTTCATTCTGGCATCACAACCACTACAGAAGAGGGTCTCCGAGCATCCCCAGAGACTCCCAGTCCCACAACAGAATCTCTGTGTGGGCCTTTGACATTCTCTCCTTTGAAAGTCCTCAAATCCCCCAGTGAACAGTTGTCTCATCTCAGTAACTTTGCACGGAATCTATTTCCTCTGGTTTTTGTCCTTCTGAGCCTTTAAAACCAACAGAGATTTGAGCCAAGGGACAAGGTTAATTAATCGGCTTTAGCACGCCACTTGTTTCATCAAGGCATAAGTCTGGTCCTCAACCCCATTTTAATAAGTTCAAGGCATCCTACAATGGTACTGTCCCCCATCTTGGATCCTGAAGGGATAGTAACTGTCCCCCACCCCAAACAAAATTTAACTTTCAATTTTAAGTTGGCTTTTCAGCTATCTTGCTCCCCCCAAGCCTGCACATCTGGAACCATTCACAAAGTGGTGGTTGAAATTTTCACTAATTCAAATGGAATGCTAGGATGGAGGCCACTGGGAGGCCCTGAGCTTCCCTCAAGTCGCAGAGCAAGCAGTTCTACTCTCAGAAATGCACACATCAACAAACACCCTGGTGAGCACCCACTGGGGACAGAGCCCTGCACTAGGGGAAGGGGAGCAGCCCAGCTTTACATGCCAGGACATCAGGGGCAATGGTACAGACTGAACTGTGTCTGCCTCCTCAAAAAAAGCTCACAAGTTGAAGCCCTAACCCCTAATGTGACTCTAATGACGGTGTGTGTGAAGTGAAATAAGGCCACAAAGGTGAGGTCCTAATTTAATAAGACTGACATATGTAGAAGACAGTGATTCACATTCTCTTTCTCTCCACTAAGTGAAGATGCAGTGAGAAGGTGGACATCCTGCTAGCCAGGAAGAGAGCTCTCACCAGAAACCCACCATGCTGGCATCTTCATCTCAGATCTCCCAGCTTTCATAGCTGTGAGAAACTACTGCTGTTGCAGGCACCCAGCCTACAGTCCTTGGTAGCCCAAACTGACCACACAGACAGCAAGCTCTTCTGTCTCCAGTCAATGTGGTTCATGGGAAGAACAGGAATCCAGAGATATTACTCTCCTTTTCTGCCTAGCAATAGGTGTCCTTTTCTGTCTAGGAACAGGGAGAAATTGGGGAGAAACATGAAAACTGATCCATTCATCCATATCCATCTACTACCCACCAAACCACCAATAAAATTTATGGAGTAACTATTTTGTACAATTATACTTTTTAAACATACCATATTCATACTTATTTACAAATGCATTAAAAGATCTGGAAATGTACACACTAAATGGATTGTGAGTCACCTTTGGAGTAGAATGGAAGGGGACAGAGGAAAAAGGAGACTAGGTTGATGAGAAGGGAGTTTTACTAATGTAAAACTGTTATAAAATGTTCACCTATAAAAGCAAAACCACAGGGTCTCGCACATAGCTGCCAAATGATATGAACATAAGCAGCACTCCAGGCATAATGGGCCTGGCTTTACTGTTTGACAGGCCACCCTACCTTCCAGGCTTTTTCTCCCCAACGCGGGGATGTGACCTGCAAAGGTGCCGAGTTTGTCCCATGCTGGCTATATCCCCAACAGTCGGCACAGTGCTGTGCACATAGTAAATGTGGAAACACTGGTGGCCTGGATACACGCATGCATGAAGGAGCTGAGCAGGGGGGAAAAGAGAGAAAGAGGGGGAGTCTCCACAGAAACGTTCTGTGGGAAGCTCTCAGCTGGCCAGGAGCTTTAGTCAGGACACAAATCTGGGGGATTCTGTAGAATAAGACCCGAAGGCGGGACAAGTGGGGAATCTGTGTGGCTCTGAGGTTTAGATGTTTAAAGGGACTTTGGGTGCCACCTGGGAAGGGGCTCTGGAAGTACAACCAAAGTTTCCAGCACTTACAAGGGGCACTATGTCCCCAACAAGAGTGAATTGGGTTCCCCTCCAAGACAACCAAGGACCATGTAGTCTTCATATGGTCTCTGCCCGCCTAAAACACAGGGTTTTTTTTTCCTTGTATGAAAAGTTTTAATTATGAGCCAATGAACATTACAGACTTTAAGCCTTAATTATTTCTTCTTTCCTGTGTAAAACCAAGTAATTCAAACAGCTTAACTCAAATATGACAGAAGACTGTAGTATGAACAATAGTAATGTTTGCTTCCACATCTGCATGCTTCATTAGCGGACGAAAGAAGTGCTCCTGGTTTCCCAAGGCAACACAAGTTCGATTATACATTTTTCCTGATCATGGTTGCAGCCAAAACACAACAAACACTTTTCATCCACAGCACAGCACTTTCCCATTATTCTTTCCTTTACCCTCAATATCCTTGTGAGGTAGTGAAGAGAGGG